CTCAGGCGAAGGTGAATGCCGAATTTGAAGTCATTGGATCGCACATAGATGGGAAATATCCTCTTGAAATTTACCTTCGTAGGTTCTTGTCAAAACTTTCACGTGCCCGATCATGAGATCTAGGCATAAATGAGAGCTGAATTTAGGTTTGTAGGGTCGCATACAGGCAAAAAAGATTCTCCTAAAACTTCAGTTTACTAGCATTTCTGGTTTCCAGTTTGAAAATTTCGGACAAAACGCACTCGGAACACACAATAGAGGTCCCGACATTATGTGTTTTGCGGAATAAAACGTATAAAAAAGGGCGAAAACGGCATTAAAAAAAAAAATCTCCCGGCTAGCTGTAGCGATAAGGCCTATTTTTCTGTACTTCTGTTTTCTTACTTTTCTCAAAGTATAGCATCTTCTGTTTTTTTTTTCTTATCCATGCTATAGCATTTTTTGCCATAACTTGTGTTAATTTTGTTACTTTTAATGCTTTGTTCATTTGCTGATTCATAGCGTTTCTCCTCGCTACTGATGCAGCTAGTCAATTTTTGGTTTTTTTTTTGGAACTCTTTCACCCAAATAATTCCACACAATCGTTCAGTGTGCACAACATTGAGAGCCTTTTATGTTTTTTGTCAACATTGCTCGGGCACCGTTCGATTTTTTTGCTGTTTTTAGCGAACATTTTTTTCGTAAGATGTTTTTAAATGTACTTGTTAAAACTTCGATTGATTGCTTCATACCCCTGTTGCTTTTCTGCACGAGTCAAATTAAAATGGGTAATTTTTGGGGTAATTTTCCCCGGAAAACATTTTAAGTTTTCATAGTGGGGAATTTTGCACCGAATCGATTTCCTGATTCCAAAAAATTTTCGATTGTACCAGGATTACTTGAAACAGCTGATTTTCCAGCTATTTGCAGCTAGCGATTTTTTTTTTTTCATGTTTTTTAACCAATGTTGTATTTTTTAATGCACATTCTGTTTGTACTACTGGAATTTATTTCGTGTCCTGAAGGATTACCCTCTGAACAGTTCTTAGAAAGGCGATTGACAAGGTTTTTAGCCTTGGTCCCTTTTTTGGCATATTATCAAATCACCAAGAATTCGGCCATTCCGAGCCAATACGGTAACCTTACCAACTTAGGAGTTTTGAAAAGTGATGAAGAAAAAGCGGATTTCGTTGATCTGTCTGGGAATTTTGGTAATCCTTTTCAAAGTTTGCTTCATCTGTGAAATATGTGTGATATTACACGCTGTTCATGCAATTTTTCGAATTGTCTTATTAACCATTTTATACTTTTTTCTTATATAGAACGCTTTTTTTTTATATATAAAAATTTTTAGGTTGTTTTTCCCGTTATACAAAGTAAGCGCCCGAGCTCTCTTCTGGTAGCTTCATGAACATCTCTGCTTAGTAATTTTCACGATAGGTACATACAGAAATCCAATCTGCCCCACTGCCCCTCCCTGTCTCTGGTAAAATTGATTTTCATGTATGTATGAATTTTTTGACATTTTTATCGCTGTGTCTTTTTATTTTTTCGATGAGGTAAATTTAATTGTTCTTCGTATTTCCCTCGTTTGATCGGCGCTGCGTAATCGTTCTGCCATCAGCATCTCGAGTACTAGGTCCCTCGAGCGTATAGTTTAAAGTATTGAGGTTCAAAAACATTTCAGGCTTTCCTTGCTCTATGACTTATTTTTCCTGCTGTTCCCCCTTTTGCTAGTGACTCCCCCCCCCCCTCTCGCCCTTATTACCTTTCCTGCTTCCCACACTCTTCCTCCCTCTCCCCTGTTTTTTCCCTCCAAGTTCAGCGAGCTTATTTTTCATGCCGGACTTTCTCCAAGGATTTGATAATTGATCTGTTCATTTCAAGAGTATGCTGGATTAATTTTTTGTTGTGGGAGTTTTGGGGGTTGGGAGAAGAGTACTGCTGAGTTAAATCTGTTTTGCAGTTCAGTGAAATGTAAAATGCTTTGTATCCGAAACGTAAAATAATGGTGCTTTGTATCCCTTGCTTCTCATTCTCAGCTTTGTTGCCGTGAAAAAAAAAGTTGTTGATAAAGGGAAGACACTTTCGAAAATTTGAATTTCGCGGTATGTTCTAGGATTGTCGCGGTATGTTCTAGGATTGAAAATAAAAGAAAAATAGATTGAAAACTGACAGTTGCCCACTACAGTTCGCCCACTCAAAATTCTTTTGATTCGTCAAAATTTTTTGCTCAAATTTTTGCATTGGAAACGTTTTCAACTTCGAAAAATGGCATGTTCGCCGAGATGTGAATAGCGTTCGAACCCCCCTTTCTTTGGTTGTCCTAGTAACAACGAGCACAGCTTTTGCTACAGTTGCTTCCAGTACAGATTGCTGCATCCATCATTCCGTGTTTTTTTTTTCTGATTTTCTAAAAAAACCACCAGTTCCATGGTCCGTTAGCACACCTTCAAAGAAACTTCGTTTTCCCCATTTCTACTGAAATATCTAGTAAGATTGTTTGAAAATTGCATATTCTGTGGGGTTAGATAAGTTTGCAGTCTGTGTTTCATCTCTTAGCTTCATGTTGTGAAAGGTGTTTCTCAGTATGTGTTTTGATTGCGAATGAAACAAATTAGCTGTTATTTGATGATTGTTGAATTCCTTAGTGACTGAATTCCTCAAAAAAAAAAAATTAGGAAAAAATCTTTGGCGCTGGTCAGGAGTTTTGCTCGAGATATTCTATGGACATGAATGTTATTATTATTATTGTGATGTTGTGCACATTGTCTTAGAAACTGTCATCTTTTCCAGTTCAATATTATTTGTCTTGCATATTGATGTTTTAAATTTTTTTGTCTTGCACATTAATCTTTCAAATTTTTTTGTATTTTTATCGCTTGTTTTTTTCATTGATAACATATTTTTTAATTTTTCCTAATTTTTTTTTGTAGAAATTTTACTGTTTTAGGCAAAAAATTTTATTGATACATAATTGCAAAGGTTGCAGATTTCATTCAACCAGTGAGACAACCAATCCTTCTAAATTTTTTTTGTAATTTTTACAAATGCACACCGAAAAATTAGAATTTGCCATCAGCTTGCTTGA